CACCAGGTCTTCCTACCATAGGCAGTGTGGAGGGACGTACCTATAGGAGGCAGCTGTATTCGGGGGAAGGTGTCACCAAGCACATGACATTAAAAAGGTAAAGCACTCAGCTCTCAGGCAGCTAAGCAACAGCCACCGTGATCTCGCGCCTTTTGCTCCTCAAGGACAGGGGACACTGGGGCAAACTCATATAACCGGCCGTTTAATCCCACTCTGCAGCAGGGGTCAGAGAGTTAAGTATTTTAGGCTGTGTGAGCCATATATCCCGTGGTAACTACTCAACTCTGATGTTACAGCACTAAAGCTGCCACAGAAAGAACACAGGACAATTAATGTGCCAGTGTTTCCATAAAACTTTATTTATAAAGAGGGCAGTGGGCTGGATTTGCCCACCCCTGCCCTACACCAACTCAGTCAGCCTGGAATGAACTGTTGAGCTTATTCGATTTCCTTTGAGCAAAAATAAGTGAAATCCTTTGAGAGTTCCTTGGCTGCTTTGGCCTTCAAGGTCATACGGGAATTAGGTAAAAGGTCACAGGTGCTAACTTTTGGGCAAGAACCCTAGAAGAGCTACACCACTGACCTGGAACAGTAATCACAGACACCCAACTCAGGAAAGGGAACAAAAGCCAATGGCTGAGAAGAACCGTGAAAAAAAAAAAAAAAAAAGGAAAAAAAAGAAGAAAAAAAAAAGGAAATGCAATGAAAGGTAGCAGGGAGGCACTCAGAAACGGAGCCGAGTGATGGCTAGAAATGTCAATAGCTCTGTGCTGACTGACTGGTGTCATTATAAACACATTTAAGGAAAGTAAGGCTATCTGGTCTCAAGGTAATGCGGGTGGGGAGAATATCTGAAATATAAAGAGGAGACTTGTTTGAGACTCTGCAGGCTCCTCGTGAGGAATGGATGAAAAGATTACAATTCTTTTTTTCACTCAAAATAGAGAAAGACAGGCAGCAATTTCTGGGCTGGCTTCCCATAGCCAAGACAATATACTTTGTTCATAAACAGGGGGTCACTTTTCAGGACCAGGCACCCTGCCCCCAGCTTTCTGTCTCCTCCCTGGCAGAGGGCTGACCTAGGGGCAGTGTCCATTACAGTCCTGCCCCCACTGTCCCCCTTCTCCAGTCCGTTTCCCCCATTTGTGGGAGTCCAACGATGGCCAAGCCTCTGTGGGACCCGCACAGGGGGTGCAGGAGGTACTGTGAAATCAAGATAGCTGTGTGCTTCTCCTTTCCCATATGATAATGAAGATTTATGGCAACTGGAAAAAGCATATGGAGGTTGAGAAATTCTGGCTCAAAATATGATAAAATATCAGAGGAAGGGGTAGGGAGGTCAAGGACAATCACATCTTCATAAAAGCCAATTATATACTGAACTGAATCTGATTATCAAGGGAATAGGAGGAAGGTACAAAATACCAGGTTAGCCCTGGCCAGTGCTGCTAAATGGTTAGAGTGTGAGCCTGCACACTGAGGGATCACGGGTTCGATTCCTGGTCAAATGTACATACCTGGAATGCAGGTTCAATCCCGGTCCCAATAGGGGTGTGTGTGGGAGGCAACCAATCGATGTGTCTTTTTCACATCGATGTTTCTTTCTTTCCATTTCCTGCCCCCTCCCTCTTTTCCTCCCTCCCTCTTCACTTCTCCTCATCCCCCCCCACTCCCTTTACTCCCTCCCTCTTCGTGCTCTTCTCTAAAAAAAAATCAATGAGAAAAATATCCTCAGGTGAGAATTAACAAAACAAAACAAAACAAACAAACAAACAAAAAAAACCCAACCAACCAACCCACCAACCCACCGAAAACACACCAGTTTGGCTGTGGCTATCACAGCAGCAGCTTGGCTCCAGAAGAGTTTCTGGAGTGGAACACGCACAGTGGAGACTGCCCTGAAGGTAAGAACGGTGGGAGGTGGGAGGCTGTAGACCTACACCCAGGCATCCATGCAATTACCCTATAGAACTTTCTCCTGCAGGTGGGAAGACCTCTGCATCCAGGAGTACCAAGGCATCATCACATTTCCTAGATAAATCCTTCAGGGGTGAGGGAAGGAGGGCAGAAAGAGAAGTTCTACAGAACAATTGAGGGGGAAAAGTGAAGGCACTATATAGGTAAAAGCACATGAATAAACCCATAACAGAAAAGAACCTCTCTTTATTCCCACACTGTTCAGAAAACAGTTTTCATATATTACATAAAGGGAAATGCCCAGAAAAATAGGCTATAATTGGTTCTGTTAGTCAAAATTCCAAGTTCTCCTTAGTTTAGGCCATCTTTGTCTTACCTCTATATAAAGACCTTTCAAAAGAGGCAGCCCAAGTAATCACATGAGCAGCTAAGAAAATGCAGAAAGGTTCTTCAGTAAGAGACCCTGACTGAGGGTTATGAAAGACTGGGACGCTACAAAAAAGAAAGAGAAATACCAACTTTGGATTAAACTAAGGCTCTGCAAACTCACGTGCTTGGAGCATCAGAGAAGATGGAGGAAAATTTTACCTTTTTCAACAGTCAAGTATCAGCAAATATACAGATAAAGGTAAGTTCATAATAACCATGAGAATAAAAGAGCTTTGGGCCATCACTCCTCTTAGTGATCGGTATTCTCTTTGACCCCCTGTGCTTTTGGGTATCACCAGTGGGCCAGAAACATGATCAGGAGGAAAACTGGCTGGGGAAACAAGAGTTGAAAAAGAACGGGAAAGAAACTTTAGGAGATGAGAAAACACAGGAAGATGACTATGGTGAAAAATGGGAGGCAAACAGTAGTGGGATTTAGATAGTATTTATGAGGATGTTACTAACAAATGTCTCAGGCAATCCAACACAGCAATTTCTTTCCTCTGTCAAAGAACAACAAACAAACATCTGTTGCCCCTTCCTCTGCAATGTCGGTAAGTCATGATGTTGAATGGACTAACCTGCTTTCTCCAACATGACACTGCTTTAGTGCCTTATCCAAAGGCCAAACAGAGAAAAATTCTGCAATACTGGCCCCTTCTACCTAACCCCTGGGCCACTTAAAAAATTATAACAACTACTGATGGACAACTGGAGTGTCTGAATTCTTGAATACTTCTCTAGCAGGGGGCTGACTGTCTTTAACTGATAAAAAATCAACCTACACTGTGTAGTTACAAAATAGAGGGAGGGGGCACCTTGTGTGGCAAGATACCTTCTTCACAAACATAAATGTATCTGACCAAGTACCAAGTGGAGGGCAAGGTGAAACTGAGGTGACAACTAAGGTCTGAGCCCCGCCCTAACTGTACGGAGGGCGATGCGGTTGCAGCTGGTATTTGAGAACGGGAACCCATATCTCTCAGACTGACAGTACAGAATTTCTTTTGCTATGCCACTTGCACAAAATGAGAAAGCAAGCGCTAAAGAATAGCAAAGAGATGGTAACCAGTAGCAGAAAGTGTGGTTTTCTTAAGGACAGGTTAGTCCTATATGATCAAGAAGTAATATGCAAATTGACCATCACTCCAACCCACAAGACGGCCGTCAGGGGAGGACAGTTGTGAGCAATCGGGCCAGCAGGGGAGGGCAGTTGGGGTGACCAGGCTGGCAAGGGAGGACAGTTGGGGGTGACTGGGCCAGCAAGGGAGGGCAGTTAGGGGTGACCAGGTCAGCAGGGGAGGGCAGTGAGGGGCAATTTGGCTGGCAGGAGAGCAGTTAGGCATTCATCAGGCTGGCAGGAGAGTGGTTAGGGAGTGATCAGGCTGGCAGGCAGAAGCAGTTAGGGGCAATCAGGCAGGCAGGCAGGTGAGCATTGGGGAGCCAGCAGTCCTAGATTGTGAGAGGGATGTCTGACTGCCCATTTAGGCCCAATCCTAAACGGACAGTTGGACATCCCTCGAGGGATCCCAGATTGGAGAGGGTGCAGGCTGGGGTAAAGGACAACCCCCTCCTGTGCACGAATTTCACGCACCAGGCCTCTAGTCTAAGATACGCATCCTGATCTAGCCGGTTCTTCAGTACCTCTCACACCTAATACATTCGCTGGTGATTCAAATCAAAATGAGAGATGCTGGAGCTTATTAATAGACACTTATATCACTTAAAATCCCAAAGGAGCCCACATGTCTGATCTGAAAGATTTAAAACAGCGGTTGCCAACCTTTCAGACCTCATGGGCCACCAGTGGTCCATAGACCACCAGTTAGCAACTGCTGTCCTAAAGGTTTCCTTAAACCAGTGGTTGCCAACCTTTCAGACCTCACGGACCAACGGTTGGAGAGAGACCACTAATCTAAAAAGACCCTTCACTCCTTCAGGATGACCTTCAGGAGCTCATAACCTATTGGCTCTGTGCATATTATGATATTGTAATGGATCTGATTATAAAATAAAAGAGGACAAAAGCAGATCTAAAATCCTAAGTCTGAGCCCAGCACACTCACCCCACTGTTCTTTTCTTGTGGATTTATGGCTGGCATAGTCCTGGAAAGAAGATGGATCTGTTGACTATGACTTCATAAAAATGAACAGGTAGATGGGCACCATAGCAGATGAGAAGCCTAACTCCTGCCTATAAGAGCCAGCCCAACAGGCAGAAACAGAATACAATTAAATCAGGTCCGAAAACCTGCTATAGAAAATGCAATTACTAAAAGATACAAATAAATGTTCAAAGAAAATTGGCCCCTGACAGGGTTAGTCAAGCTTCTAAATCCAGCTGGAGGCAGACGGCTCAGGCTAATTCATGAGCAGGAGGACTGCAAAGCTGTAAGCCTCTGCATCAGGATGCTGGCCTGGTGATCACCACGCATCCCAGGACACCAATGATGTGCAGCAATTTGGGGGCAGCTGGCCAATGATTCAGGGCTCCAGGAAACGGGATGTGGGCAGACACAGAAAGGAGCATGGATGTGGAAGGCTGAGCACCAGAAAAAGTGACAGGCTGGTCTCTGACACGGCAGGGAAACAGGAGACCGAGTGAGCCCCACTTCCTCACCCCTCATCCAGGAAGCAGGCGGAGGAAGTCCTACCTCTCGCTGCAGCACCAGCTCCTTGGTGAAGAGCATGGCTTCCTCGCTGAAGGGTTCTCCCTCCTGCACCAGGCCGGGGAGGTTCCGGGCTCCTCGGGGGCACTCAATGCCTGTGTCAGGAGAAAAGGAGAATTTGTGATGAAAAGGACAGTTCCTTGAATACGTCTAATAAGGCAAGTGTGAGATCAGAATGCCATCACGTCTGAGACAAGGGAGAGCAGGAGAAGGGAATGAAGTTCGCCCCAAGTGGGAAAAACCAACACCATCACAGCAGCTACCAGCAGGTGGGAGAGGAGCCTGCAGTCACAGCATCGGGAACTGTCAGGGGGACCCAGTGAGCTCCAAGTGAGATGTGCGATGAGTCCTCGTCTTAGATGCCTAGTCCTTACAGTCTTGGTCTCACTGCTCCAACCATCATTTACATAAATGGCTCTCTTACCTAGATTACACTGATAGTCCAGCCGTTCTGCATCCTGAGAACCATTCCACTGACTCCTAGGCATTTCCTCTTTACTATCTGATTTTCCCATCAAATTCACATGTTACTCAGTGTTATTTTCCTCTTCAAATAAGCTTTCCTGTCTGTCCTCTGGCTATATTTTAGACAATCATATCTTCAGTTTTTCATTCAGAATTAGAGACAGAAAAAGAGAATACTGATAAAGTATGAGAGCCCTAGATTTATGTGCTAACTCTATCACGTAGCTTTGTGATCTTGCCCAAGTTACTGTGCCATTCGAAGCCTTCACTGTCCTCACTGCAAAGCTTCACAATGGTGGTTGTGTGAACTAGGGATATAAAATACTTGGCACAATGCCTGACACAGGGAAAGGTTCAATACATTTTAGCTCTTATTATTTGATCATTATCATCATTATTACTCTTAGCAGTTCTCCAAGCTCAACATCTTAGTTATCCCTCATTCCACAACTAGCCAGTAAGATCCGTGAGTGCAGAATCGCATCCTTCACACTTCTTTGTATCCAGAAACGTATTCATACAAACAGGTGCTCAGTATCTAACTCTGACTGCATTTCTTCCTTGCTTTGGTTAGTAATTTACTTTGCAAATATACTTATTACTAACAGTGCTCATCTCTGACAGGCCATGAAATGGGTCAGGTTTTGATGTACAAATTAGACTTGTAAATATTTCCCCCAAAATCATATTACAGTTAGAAAGCTGAACTAATCTAGAGCCATAGGAAAAGAAGACAATCAAATTATGGGGATGACACATTCAGGGCCCCTGTCTGATTCATGGCTGGTCACTCCTGCACCATAAGGCAGAACTGTGAGTTGTTCCCTCTTATTTACAATCAGCCTCAAGTGGGGGAACAAGAGATGTGGCACAGGGAGGCAAAGCAGCAGAGCACCTAGGCCACCGCAACACCTGCTGGGGAGCCTTTGGAAGAAAAGGAGCCACTGCAGGGATAGAAGGTACATCTCTTCTTCTTTTTTAAAAAAATATATTTTATTGATTTCAGAGAGAAAGGCAGAGGGAGAGAGAGAAACATCAGTGATGACAGAGAATCACTTGATTTGCTGCCTCCTGCACGCTCCCTATTGGGGGATGAAGCAACCCAGGCATGTGCCCTTGGCCGGAATCGAACCTGGGACCCTTCAGTCCGCAGGCCCACCCTCTATCCATTGAGCCAAACCAGCTAGGGCAGAAGATGAATCTCTTAAGGATGAAGCCAGGTGGCTGTTCATGCTTCTGGTTACAGCACAGACTCAAGGTCATAAAGCTGAGGAAGAGGAATTGTTTATACGTTGGGTTTTCAGAAGCTCAAGAGACCTTTCTCTCCAAGCTTCAAAGCCTCACAAAAGGAGTAACATCAAATCAAACCAAATGCTAGACAGGAAGCGCACTGCAGCGGAGAGCCACTTGAGCAGGTGGCCAGGGCTGCTCTCCCACCCAAGCTAAGATGGGACAGCTGGAGGTCCCATGCAATTGTCAGACAGGTGAGACCACCAGGGCTCATGCCTGGCACTCAGTGTCAGGCTGCACAGGGAAATGAAGCTTATTTTGTAAGACAATAATAAACTCAGGGAGAGCCAAAGAGCCCGAGATTAACCTTAGGAGAGATGGGGCTGGAGTAAAATGGAATGAAAGATAGCCCAGGGTTGTTACAATACCAACAGCCCAGAACACTTCATTTTATATCTGCAAACTAAGCAACAGAATTGTCAGAGAGAAAAACAAACAATTCTATTAAACTTTTTGGCCACATCACCATAGATAAAGCATTACTGCAGAAACAAGAATAATACTAAAATAAGCATTTGTTTCCACCCTCAGCAGCCAGCCATTTGGGTGGGGCAGACTGCGGTGCTGCTGATAAGGCTGCTGTGAACAGGGGCCTAGAACTGGGATGTGGGTAGGACAACTCACCAGGCAGCAGGGACCAAGGGAAAGAATTTCCACTAAAAGGGCACAAAAGATAACCAAGTCTCACTGGTTAGCAGATGTACACATCCTATTCCTCCGCCACTTTTGTGGTATTCTACAATCTCAAAGGATCCCAGCAGCTCTCTCTGAATCCCGGGAGGCCACCGAGTGATTGAATCCAGAAAACAAGATGGCTCAATGAACGCAGGGAGTTAGTCAAGTCACAATGAAATGTCTTCAGAACATCTTTCTAAAGAGAGTCCTCTGGGCCAGTGGTGACCAAAGCCTGGCCACTCCTCCTAGAAGGCGGAAGGCGAGGGCCTTTGTTGTGCACTCCTCTGCTTTCCAACAACTGAACTCCAGCTGTTCAAGAGGAGGGAGCCAAGGCAGGCAGCTTTCTTGCCCTTTTTTAAGTGGAAGAAGTAAACACACCCACGCCTATCCATTCCTGCCAGGCAGGCAGGTAAGAGAAAAAAGAGGAAGAACAAAAGTTGCTTGAGAACAAGAGTATTATGTCTGCTTGGATCATTTACTTCTTTTCTTCTGGGGGAACTCTTTTCTGAGGTCTCCCCTTCCCAGTCAAAACCTGTCTCCCTGGCACATTTCAGCTCAGGGTCAGATGTGGCTTAGCTGATGCTACTCATTAGGCCAGATAGAGAGAAGTTGCATCTTAACCACAGACCCAGTGGAACAGGTACCAGCGTTACACCCAGGCGTAGATCTAGAAGAACAAAGGGGGAATATAAACATTTGCCGTGTGCCCACGAGTATCCAAGATTTGGCACAAGGCCCCGGATCACAAAGGCAGTAAGCGGCCTATCTGAACCTTAAATTGTCAGATGCTGATGCCAGTGAGAAAAGGACAGTTCTGTCACCAGGGGGTGTTCTGTCCCACAATGGAGAGCAGGTAGGAGAGTCCAGGGCCCTGAGGCACTCCATTTCCTGTTGGGGAGGAATCCAGGAACAGCTGGTGCTTAGAGGAGAGGAAGGGGCACTTGGCACTCAGGTGGTCATGGTAACAGAGTTTCAGGCACTGCCATACTGGAGCACAGAGGCCAGTTTCTTGCTCTGGGCAGGGGATTTTCTACATACAAGGTAAGGCCCTAGGCAGAATACCAAATTGGGACTCAGAAACATGGACTGAGCAAGGGGGTAGGGGAGTGGCAGGCAAAATCTGTTATCAGACCAGGGTCAAAGGCAGAGCCAGGATAGCAGGAGGGGTCTGTTGACATGGACTATTAGAAATCGATGTGCCAAGCTAATTGTGCACACAAAATGTTGTGCAGACGTGAGTTTTTAAAACTTTAACTTTTATTATGACCATATAAAAACATGTATATATGGGTATATACACTATATAACCAAGTTTCCACAAAATAATGGTTAATTTTGACTACATGTGCTATGCTCTGTCTCTCTTCTGTTCTATTTCATTAAATGAAAAAAAAAAAGAAGATTGTTATGACAATGAATTGATTTAGGAGGGCAAGACCCTTAGCTTGAAAAACACTGGTATAGACTGAGGCGTGGCCACAGAAGGTGCGCAAGGACGGCCTCCTTGGAGGATTCAAAGGTGACCAGCAACCCTGAGTGCTTCGTCATCAGCTTCTGGACTTGCTTCTGTGTCCCTAGGATCACAGGACAGGGAGGAAATATGCTGTCCACTAAAGCTAAAGAGACATCCCTGCTGAAAACCAGGGAGGACCGTGCTGTCAGCGAGAAGAGTTCTACTGCCCCGCCTTCCCGAGAACTTGGTCAGGAAGTGAACCCAGTCCGACTGCACCTTTACTCAGTCCTGGGCAGCTTTTACTCAGTATTGCAGCTTTGTTACCACACTTTAAAATGATTAAAAACAAAACAAAAGATCAATGGGAAGAAAGCTGGGTTCTCAGGAAGCAAACCCGGCTGCAGTTGCTGAGCTGGGCAGGCCAACATGTAGCAATGGAGAGACCCCGCGGTGGTAAATACACAGTGAGCCGTGGCTGGGTGGCTCAGTTAGTTGGAGTGCCGTCCTGTATACAAAAAGGTTGCAGTTCGATCCCCAGTCGGGGCATGTTCAGGAACAAGGCAACTGACTGATTGAGGTTTCTCTCTCACATCCCGCTCTCTCTTTCCTCTTCTTCTGCTCCCCCCCCCCCCAAAATAAATAAATACATACATACATAAGTGAATAAATAAAATCAATAAAAACATATCCACAAGTGCAGATGAAAACACACACAAAAGGAAAGGGAGCTATCAGTGGAGGTCCAGAAGCTGCCCCCGCCAGGTGCGGAGTGCCGTGATTCTGGAGCGTGACCGTTCCCACTAACAGCCGTCTTTTCAGATAACGCAGTGCCACCGCGCTGCTGCCTGCTGATAAGGACGCATTAGCCGGCGGGCTCACGCACCACAGGTGCAGGCCAACAGCCACGCTTCCCCGACAGGTACAAGTCATTCAAAAACTAAAAATATTTAAATATCATAAAAAAAAACCCCTATACCTAAAAGTCTCCCATTTTCCTTCCCTATTATGGGATGTGCCAAAATGAAGAGACACCAGCCTGTGGGCCTTCTCAGCGGACCTCACTCAGGGCGGGCACAGAAGAGCCAGGCAGACAACTCCACCCTCCTGGTCCACGTGGCTCCAGGATGCTCTACGGCCCTACAGACCGACCTGCCCGTCGGTGAAACTCACCGTTATTCTCACCTTTCCTATGCTTTCTGGGTGTCATAGTTA